ACAATAAGAACCTGAAAAATGATGTTGCTAAATAACTTGAACGTACTTCTGGTTAAGAGAACTACATTTTATTAATGAGGCGCTGAGTCTTTTTCTCTCCTCGAGCATCTGGACTCTAGGTTCGCCATACTTTTACAAACATTATATTGGAATTGTTTGCCGAACAACTAAAAAATACCTATACGAGAAATTGTACAAAGGGCACTCTGCTCTTGATCCTACCTAACAAATATCTCAAGTTTCTTTAGCCAGTTGTTGATGTTTACTGTCGTTACACCGTTTTCTAAGAAAGTTTGGGTATTAGATTACATGTAATGAAAAGTACTAGGTTTTCACTCCACACGTAAACTTTAAAAAGATTTTTGGACGTTACATTCTTTAAGCACCGTTCCCATAATGACTGAACACTCCCTAAATGAGCTACAACCACGTCAGTAGTTCCAGACAATGCTTTGTAAAGTTTTGTTCTTAATTCTATAAATGGTCTCTTCTGGGAGCAGTCCAACACAATAAGTCATGATTATCGCGATAGCATTTTGTTAAGACGAGCCAGTGAATTAAAATAACCACAAGGCAAAAAATGCAAATTGTGGTAACTTTGTGAATCATCAGAGCGTAAGATTGTGCTTAGAGAATGTTAATGACCTATTCGAGTTGGAAAAAGATTTTCCCGAAGAGTCTTTAAAAGCCAAAACATTGTTTTTACATTTTCGGAAGAAGAAACTGAAAGCTTTTCTTTTTGCAGATTCAAACAGATAGTTGCGGACGTCCAAGTTATTCAATACTAATAAAAATATGCATTCTTTGAATATCTAGTAAGGAAAACACCGAAATATCTGAAACTTTTCCCGCAGCTTTTTGAAATGATTGGATCTACATTAAGTGTGGTACACTTTGTTCAGTCAGCGAAGTTTTAAACCTAAGGAGCGTTTTTCACTTTCTGTTGTATATGTTCTTAATATCCTGTAAGGTTGATTTAAAAACGCTCAGTGAAGAGACAGTTTTACTTACTAGTATCTCAAATGACTTCCCATGACACAATCGCTTAGCTTTAAGTGAATTGTTGTTTGCGCATTGGCGAGTTCCTCGTTGATTGTAAAGAGGTTGTTTATTGGTCTAAATAATGACAACTTCACAAATTCGAAATACTTATTACATAGACATTTAGGATTTAGGTTGTTATGCGCACGCTTCAAAGCAAACATACTGTCTTTGTTTACTCTCCGTCAACGTAAAAAATGACGTGATGCTATTTTCTTTCATTAGCTGCTGATGAGCTATTGTTGAAATTAAATCAGTCATACTGCCTCTGGATAAAAAAACTGCTTTCGTGTCGTTCAAATTTTGTGATTGCTTAAAATTGTTCTTTGCTAGCCCTGGCAAACTTTTCTCAGCCCTAAACATTGACTTTGAAAGCACAATTGTTGTTTGGGGCGGTCAAGAAATTATAATAAAGAACATTGTGTTCGATCGCTTTGTTTTCTTATTTGGATAAGTTGTCCTGGGGGCTCCCTCTTGACCCATTCTTCGCATGGAAACGAGGCTCGTGACCACGTGATTAGTTTTTAATGCGCGGCGTAGAAATGTGAATACTGATTTATACAAGCTGTTTGGATTGTAGGTGGTCTTGTTAAGGTTAAGTACCAAATGACCCCAAGGTCGTGTTTGATTAATCGGTTTATAACGTCGCGTGTTTTTATTCACCACAGGTGACGACGTGTTTGTTATTCTGGAAGAAACCGAAGAAGATGAGAAGCAAGCCACAACACAAGGGGTTCTGGATAAAATCGTTGTTACCGCGGACAAAAATGAACTGAAAAAAGACAAGCTTGAAAACAAAGAGGAGGTATCAAACCACAGAGTCTCGAATCCTGCCTATGCAATTGAAGTATCGGAAGCTGGTGTTAAAGGCGTATCTAAACCACATGAACATGAAAACAGAGACGTCTCCGAAATGAAAAAACGCAAATCTAGCGAGGACGTGTCTGCCACTCAAATCGAAGAGGAACTAGACAAAGAATCAAAGAGGGTTAAATCTTTTGGAGATTCTTTCGAAAGAAAGAAAGCTGGCAAAACTACCGCGGGCAAAAATGGCGAACTGCCAGCTTTGAATGGAGTGTGTGAAGATATTTCATCTGATGAAACTCCTGCCAAAATTCCGAATGATACAAAACCTCAGCTCGTTACAGTAAGAGAAGGCTGTAGTTTAACTGCACCGAAACAAAAGGTTGTGTTTTCTAAGGAAAGCCAGGACGATGCAGCATTAAACGATACTGTGTCAAATTCAGAGATTTCTGGTCCGCAGGAGAATCTAGCTAAACAAAACTTTAGAAGTGATAGCCAAGTTTCGGACGTGTCTACATTGGATAAGGAAATTAAGCGTGGCGTGCTTCAGTCGAAATCGACTCCTGAACAAGATTACAACGAAAAAACTGTTGTAAACTCAACAAAACGACTCGAGGATGAAAAAGAACTTTCATTGAATAGTTCAAATATTTCAAAAGAGAATGACACTAGGAAAGCCAAACGAGAATTCGCGGGGGAAATAATTCCACCAGAGAAAAACAAAACACTATCAAAAAATGGCGGGAAAAGCCAATCTGCCGGCCAATCTGAAAGCGGTAAACAATCACGTGATGATAGCCCAAAGGTCCTGAATCTTCCACAAAATAGAGATCTGGGTCCGAGAAACAGAACTGAGGATAAACGAAAAAATGAAAGATATGGCGAGAGTGAAGGGAAAAAACAAACTGAGTTTAAAGACAAACACGAGCCAGTCGTTTTGCCATCTGTCACTGTCGAACAGGATAATAGTCTAAATGACGGAGACGATGAAACACCCAAGACTTTGAACGAACCAAGCGGAAACAAACGAGGACATTCCACTGAAGGAACTGAGAAGCGACGGAGACTGAGCGAGGCGGATCTCAATCTCCGCCCGCTGAGTCCTGTGATGGAGGATGGAGAATCTGATAAACAGTTATTAAATCCTTCTGCTGGACGGTCGGCTAAAGTAAAGAAAAGCAAGTCGTTCGTGGCGCGCGGGTTTTCAAAAATGTTCGGAAGTAAGCGAAAATATAAAGTGGACAAAGAACTTAGGGAGAATTCCTTCTCGTCCGAGTGTGAAAGTCAGACGACTCAGGCGGAGTTTGATCAGAGTGAGAATCACGGCGGAGCGAAGGAGAATAAAAAAAAGAAAAAAACGAAAGGGGAGGAAAACCATGGTGGCGAGAAGATTAGTGATGGACAATCAACTGATGAGGGCAAAAGCAAACATTCGTCGCGCAAGTTTGGCGGCCTTTTCTCGCGGGGCAAAAAGAAAGAGATGCACTCGCATTCGAAAGAAAACAAGTAACTATTTTGCATTTTTAGAGCGGCATTTTCGCTCTTGAAGCCATTCACAGGCCTAGTATGAGCAGATTATTGATTTTAATATTGTTTATCGAAATTTGAAAGGTTAACATTTCATCAGATCTCTGCCGAACATTATGAGGTTGATCTGATATTTGATTTATTAAGTTCAGATGAAATATCGCATGATGAGTTGACGTTATATTCTTTCAGTAATAGCATCATTTTCACAACATATTGTTTTGCTTTCCGAAAGGAAGTGTAAAATTTAGCTGATGAGTCAAAGTAAAAGTAATAGAGCGATCGACTGTTTTTTACTGTTTTTTAAGTACCTTTGAAATATTGCCAAGCTCAGTACAGTTTAACTAGATCATAGTGGTTACCATTTTGTTCATTCCAACTATATCTGACGGGAACTGTGGTTAATATTGTGCAATATCTTGCATATAGCCACAAACATTGATTTAAAACATTTGTTTTTAGTTTACGCTTCTTAGTGTGTACAAGAATAGACGGCGGGGGAAACCGGGGGAAGTTGAGAATATCTCTCTCTTCCAGTAATCTGCTTTCCTCTCATCTCCCGCCCTTTATCACGCAAAACTCCAGATTAAGGATTTACTATTGCGCGCACTTTCCTTTTTTGTCCCATTTCCGGCCTTAGTGAGCGCCCTTACCTCCCCTGTCACCCACGCCCCTTCCGCACGTTCGTTTCCAGGCTCCCACTCCCTTATGCCCCTCCACCAGCGGGGAAGAGCATAAGGGAGTGGGAGCAAGGTGAAAGTAATCCATTGGTTTTGGTTGACTGTGCCTAATGATTGGTCTAGAAAACTCGCGCTATCTGCTCGACCAATCGGAGGCAAAACTATATCCAATCACGAATTTTTCTCTAACGTTTTCCCGCGCTCCAGGCAGTTTGATTGTTTTTACTTTTAGTTTTTAATGGCTTCCTATAATTTTTTCTTTGTTATGATTGGCTGTTGCCATTACTCCGATTATGGTTTTCGACACTCAATCGAAATTTTCGTGAATGTAATGTTATAAGATCTAAAAATTACTTCAAATCCGAATGCTTTGTTCTTTTTAGGGGACGAGTCATGAGTGGAGTCACGCCCAAATCGGTCCCCTTTAAGAGGGTTCAATTTGAAATTTCGAACGGGCTTCCTCCCATCTTGGGGTTTTGACGTTCATCCAGTGTGCACCTGATTACAAGAATTTCCAATCGAGTTTCAGGACACATTATCAATGTATGTGGGCAATTGTTGAAATAATTTTGATAACATCATCAAAAGATTAAGTCTGGGTGTTTTTCCAACTTTAAACTAGATCATTATTGGCCACGAAAAAATTAAGGGCGAGAGGGTTTTTTTTCTTGGACTCTCAACCCCTTTCGCCAATTCCACCCCCCCCCCTCCCTCCCAAGTCTGCCACTGTTATAAACAAACCAAGAGAACTGGGTATTAAGGAAAGATCATACCCATTAGCTGAGAGGTTTGTATATTCTCAGAATATCTTTGCTGGAATTTGGATTGATGTTGTAAAGAGAAGTTACAACTTGATCACTTTTGGGTGGTCACCCATTCAACCTTGAGACACACTTCATCATTTCCTCACTCAGGCCTAGGCCCCAGACACTCAACAAGACAGGGCTTATTTTAAGTTTTCATTTTATTTTGAAATTTTTGGGTGAGTATCTCTACCTCTTTGAGTACTTCAATAAATAAAAACTTGATGTTTGTTATTTTGTTAACAGTTTAGTTTAAACAAGTTATATTTACATAGAAATGACATACATTTTGTCGCCTGAAAATTAAACCGTGTAAAAACGATATCAATTCGTGGAATTTTTTGGCACAGATATTTCTACATAGTGTTCTTGTCACAGAAATTTGTCACTAAATAAATTAATATCATTTTATAACTTCATATTGATAATAACAATAATGTCCAAAGCCACTTTTATGTTCGCGGCTTATCAAACTCAAAAAACGTTTGAATTTTGAGAAAATGATTGATATTTAAGTCTCATTGAGGAAAAAGCACTTTTTTTGCACTCGAATATATTGTTCAAAGTCTTCAGCAAGAATTTTCTTTCGTGCTTAGATCAATAATTTCTCTCACCTAGCTCAAGTTTTTTTTTTTCAAGTACTTTTATGGAGAATGTTTTCTAGTTGGCCTCTACCCTTCCCACCCTCAGTAGTAACATGATCCATTCCATAACTAGCTTTGGTTTTGTGGTCAACAATGCAAATAATGAATCAAACAGAAAAACTTTGTCTGTCCTTTGTCTTCTATTTAAGAAATTTTCTATACAACAAAAAAACTATAAATTTTCTTAAAATGTTCAATGTCTAATTTTATAACGCAAAACAATAAAACCAAATTTCGAATTTTCTTCCGTTAAACACTGAAACGGGAAATTCAAGGGATGATATTTTTACAAGCAATGTAACGTTCTGATGAAGAGATTGACATCAGCTGGAACTTAATAAGTTCCTTTACTTCCAATTTCTAAAACGAATTGTCCTTTCATCTCCTCTGGTGTTGAAGACTCCATTGGAAGGATCGCTGGTGCACCTTGGCTTGAGTTCAACTCGTCCTTTCCCCAGAGAGAATTTTCTTTCACATTAACGCAGCTCCCCAGGCCCTCCTTGGATAGTAGTAGTTGCTTGAGCCCGTCGTTGTTAATAGCAGTGGTCGGTGGTGAGGGTTTCTGGTTGTTGTGTATTGGTATAATGATCACGGGAAAGCGAGGGTGCCTGGTAAATTGGCGCGAAACTTCGTTGAACGCGTCTCGGAAGAACCACAGGTTCACAGAGGCGAAGAAGACCAGGCTTAGAAAGAAGAAAGCCAGCGGGATGTATGACATGCGCAGAAGCTCGTTTAGCGCCATTAAGAACGCAATGATGATGATAGAGACTGGGATAATTCCTTTGATGATAATAGCAAGTACAAAAACTAGGGCCGTCACACACTTTCGTGATGTCGATTCCTGTTCAAAACTGACCTCCTGACGAAAGCGTTCCTTTTCTCTCTCAGCAAATATCAGGCTCCCCTCGACACATAACATTACCACTCCCATGAGAGTGTTTTCCTCGAATATCAAAATCACAGCGTATGTTGCCATAGCAACAACATGGTGGACTAGGAGCGGTTTGTAATGGAAGATTTCGCTTCGGAACGTGAGGACTTCCGCTGCTTTGAACACGTAATGACCCAGAGCGATGGAAAACACGAGAAGAAAAGATCCTCCGAATGTGAAGAAAGGGTTTTGAAGGATGTCTGTACTTGTTAGTAAAACGATTCCACACGCAGGAAGAGCCACGCAAAATACGTGATTGGTAGAGCTAAAAAAAGAAAAACAGGTAAATTAAATGTTGGTTGTGTCTAGCTAAGAACCTGTCGCAATTTGAAAAAAATTGCCCGCGTAGTTAGCGGGTGATTCAAACCGGCGCACGCGAGCCAGAGGACACTCGCGTGTTACTCGCGTGCGTTCCCGCTGGGTGACTGTTACCCAGCTTCCAGGCCAACTCTCATTTGCCATGAGTTATGAAAAAAACATTGTAAAACAAAAGAATGGGCAGGCAGACAAAAATGATAAAAAAAAGAAAAGATTAGGAAGATTTACCCGAACTGTTAAATAAGATCTTTGAAAAATCACACTAAACTTTTAATAATGCACAAAACCATGTCTTTGCTCATATAAAATTTGTTTACCATTAATAAAAAAGTAATGCAATTCACCAAGATATTATGGTAACATAACGGTATTTTTCATATTCGATGTTTTCTAAAACATTGATTTTTCACATTTGATAATTCTGTACCGTGATGCATAATCTGCGGAAATCCTTAAAATGAAAGGAACTTGGAAAGTATATTAATAGCATTGTTGTGATATCTGTCCGTTATTTTACAGGAAAATTGTGTTTGCTTTATGATTGTCACATTGAAAGTTAAAGAGGTGCAATTCATTTTCTGTTTTATTCAGAGGAGGCACAGAAAAAAACATTTAGTCACCAACTTCCGTTTTCAACCAAAATTTATCTATCTGATTTTCAAGATCTTAAACAATTTCTTTCTGTTCAGAGTTTGCTTCACTCTGTAACAGGAACAGCGGGTGAGAACCTCTAAAAAAAACTGAACGCCACAAGTTTACTAAGGAAGTCTTAATTAACAGACAAAAGTTTGGTACAAAAATAGCTTACGCCACATTGTAGTTTTCGCCATTGATAGAAAACAGCTGAGTCGCAGTGAGGAAAAGCTGTATTTATTATTATCGTCACTAAGGAAGACTTTTCATTTAATGAGAAGCTTCTTTTTCAAAATAAACGTTGGATATCTAAAAAATGACAAGGTGCAGAGGTAGATAAATAACTTCAGGTTTTGGTCTATTTGTAAGCCATAGAAACCTTAAAAGTTTTTTTTTTCTAGAACTTGTGTCGGGTTGAAGTGTGGTTGATATTTATTTCTTCATAAATATTTTCCTTCGTAACATGAATATCCCATTTTTTCCGTGTTCCATGGCAGTCTAAATAACGCACAGCATCTTCACAGGAAGTCTAAGCGAAAAAACTGAGTATCTATCGTAGCGTACATCGAAATTACTTCGAAAATTCATCCAAGGCGATATTTGGAAAGAAACTCCCGATTTTCTAAATAAAGCCAGTGTTAGCTATAGTAATTTTTTTGTATATCGGCTGAAATATGTTTTCATTGAAGCAAATTTCCCTTTTCATCTTGTCACAAGAGAAAATTGAAATACATCGATCGTAAAACTGCAAAAAAGAAGGCAGGCTTCTTTACTTGGAGTGTTGACAACTAAAAGGATCCCGCTTGTGGGTGCCAAAGGTCAAATGGCTGCGCTCTAAAAAACTTTCATACACTTTCATCGAAGAAACGTCGACAAAACACACTGTGAGATTATTAACAGCAAGAAGGTCGCGTTTCGTTGCCACGAATTAAAATGTTTGTGAGACGTTTGACGAAAGTTTGAAAAAAGAGTGGGTTGGAGATCGCAAAAGTGGGCGAACATCAGAAATTGAAATTCAAAAACGACATTTTCTTACGGGACATTTACGTCCTCAGCGTGGGCCCGTCAAATTTCAACCTGGTCAAAGATATTGCATCTCCTGGGTAACCGAGTTAAGAAAGTTAAAGGGGCTATCAAAATATTGAGGAAGAAAAAGAGAGGGTTTAAATCTTACAGCACAAGTTTTTAACGTATTCTTCAACTTTTTTTGGTGGACTTCATTGATAAAGATACGAAAATTTTAAGTTTTCCCTTGCGGCGCTGAATGAATATTGCTGATACGTTAAGAATGAATAAGGTCTTCCTTTATCAATACGTGACATAGAATTGGTGCTCATAGAATTGGTGCTCTTGGTGCTAAAATTAGCCGGGTACCAACAATAAAAACTGAGAAAGCAGAATATCATTCTTGAATATTTCTGTTCATTTTTAGTTCCCGGACAATTTAGATATTTCGACAGTGATATCAGACAGAGCTACTGCATTTTTTCCTTTCAGTCAAATAATGCTATTTCAAACGAATTTTGTGCTATTGAAGTCTCCAATCGAAAAATTAAGGTGGTGTTTTACCTCATGTAAGAGGAAAGAGAATGTTTCAGCAAAAGAAGAAAGCTTAGCTAACACGAACACAAATTACGCCTAACGACATTGAGATCAGATCATCAGCTGAGTAATACTAAAAAATAAATGCTGATGCAAGGAAATCTCAGACAGAAAGGAAACTCACTGAACCACTGTAGAATTTTCCTGTTCCCGTTTACACATAGGCGACTCGTTGTTCCCTTTTTGATGATCACTGTAAAGTTATTTTAAAATTTGATATTGAACCAGCTGCTAGCTGACCAGAAAACAGGAACATTTTTACCACTCGCAGTGCTAGCATCATTCAAAGTTGTGAATATTGTGAAATTTTCGAGTTTCTAGCTTTTAATCTAGTCTAATAAGACCGGGGAAACTTTTGAAAGATGCAAATTCTTTAAATGACGATGTCAAGCAACCGTGACAAAGTCGCCACCGATGCGGAATCACTGGACCAAATAAGGGAATTTTCCTGAATGATAAACTAACCCTGAATCGCTTCTGAAACTGAAACAGGGCTTTCAGGGGGAATACATATCAGCTAAGGGTGATCGTTTCAACCTTTCGAAACATGCATCATGACGAAAATAAAATAAAAGTATTGCTCTTCTTTTGATAAGTATTTTCGTATCTGATGGTGTTTTTCCCTGAAAAATTTTTCTATTTAACCAAAGGAAGTCGATCATAATCAGCTAAATGCGTATAATGTCTGTGTTGCAAAGACTTTTACTTTATTATTTTTTATTGTTAACGTTCAATTTTTGCGGGGGCTTATGTTTTTGCTGCTTGGATCCTTAAAAATGCAAAGGATAGTAAATACACTCGGGAAACTAACTTCTGATCTCTGTTTAAGTAAATAATGATCAACTGGTCTGTTCGCAGAACAATCCTCAGAGATAACCTCGCAAGAGATCGATACACTTCAACGTGAAGCCGATGTTAAAATTTCTTTTAAACGTGTATCACTGTTCATTCGATTGAAAATGAATGCAGAGGATCATAGAGAACACTTATTTGAAAATGTTTTTAAACTTCTGAAGCAAAAATTTAGACCGCTTAAACTAACTTTTCACCACTGTCTGTAACTCATCATTTGTCTTCGAACCTTTGTGTCTATTTACTGAATGAAACACGTGACAAAGAAGAATTAAAATCTTCGTTGTTGCTCACCACTCAATAAAATATTTGAGAGTAAGGCATCTTATTCCGAAGTCAAAAATTTTGTGGCCACCGGAAGTCAGAATGATAAACGTGTATTTAACATCTTGCCGATCATACCACAGGCATCGGAAAGAGTTTTCTATAAGATATTAATTGTGAAAAGCAGTTACTTACAATCTCCTACACCAAACTGGAATCTCGCCTAGCTGTTCCTCCATTTCATGTCCTCTCTGCCAACGACTTGACATTCTTAAGACGGCTTGACACAGCTTTGGCAAAATTACACTCCATAAAACGCAGAAGTTTATAGTCAATGATACGATGAGAAGAATCTCTGAATCTTTGTAACTCAGAAATAGTCCCGTTGCAAATCCGTCCGTTTCCATCTCGACTGCTTTCAGGATCGTAATTTTGTAAACACACAACTTTGTCGCGCACCCTTAAGAAATATTCGATTTGAATTTTTCCGCCTTCGACCAGCTGTCGATGACGCTTCGATCAACTGCAATATGGCACGCTAATGTTCGCTAAACTTTATTCTCATATGAGGGGAAGTCCTGTCATGTCATGCCTTAAAAATTGATTCTTAGTAAATAACCTAAAAAAAGCCACGTTCCGGAAGCGGATGTTCAATTTAACGCAAGGTCTAAAGGTCGACTTCCGGTGATCTGAAAGGCAGCTATATGAAAGGGCCGGTTCGTCATTTCCCGAGACTATTGTTAAATGCATTTCGTTCTTTTTTGTTTTGTCGTTCAAGCAAATTTATTTCACAATGCTTAAAACAATCGTTTTGTGTACACCTGTTAACGATAAAACCACGCTTTAGTCAAATCCAACACAAGAATCCACTCCTACTTGACGCGAGGCGTCGTTCCAGTGATTGGTTAGAAACTAATTGATAATTCTTTTCGAACAACAATTTTAACGTCTGAAATATTTGTACGACCTGTTTAATGTGCCCACACCTAACTGATCCTGACAAGTACTCTTATTTTGCTTCCTGTTTGTCGAATTTAAACTTTCATTCATCAACGAGTAATATATTATCACAGACGATTCTCGATCGGGCCGAATCACATTTTTTCGGCCAAATCGAGCAATTTATCCATAGATCTTCAGCGCAAATTATTTTTCAGAAGTCAGAAAAATCTTTTCTTTCTAAGCAAATGAAATAGAATTTTAAACAGACAATTTCCATCTGTTTAGATCAGCCTTCTGCGGCCGCTGAGCACTATCCAATGAGAGACTGGGCTCCTTCCATCCTAAAATTGAACGACACTACTGAAAAGACAGACAGGCTAAATATTTCATATCGCAGACTGACAAATATCCAGAAAATTAAAGTTTTTTTTAATATCATTATTGTCTATCAGAGCTATTTTTACTCCCACCAATAAAACTAAGACAGATCTAGAAACTAAGGAGAAAGTTTAGTGTTCCTGTTTATTTTCTTTTTTTTGATTGCGTAGGTCTGGTAATCTCTCACCTGGCAACAAATGTTTTTCTTTTAACAAAAATATTCCCGTCTGACCAACCAGGGTGCAAAACTGTATTATTACGTTTGTAACTTAACATTTCACTTGGTAGTAGCCCTTTACAGACATTTGATATTTAGCGGTTAGCAGCTCATGTGACTCTTTCGATTCCTAGAGCAACTGTTTTCGAGTAAGAACGGAAGATCACTTTCCGTAAAGACCTTATGTAAGAACCTCTTTCTCGTGGGAAGAACCGCAGGCTCATGCGCAAGGCCGTTCGAAGTGTTCGAGCGCGATCACTCTCGTGTACGTGAAGAAAGTTTCAGCTGAGGTCACTTTATCGTTTTCCTTGAATAGCTATCATCGATTTCAACAATTTCTAAATGTCAGGATAAGATGCTCGTATATTTGTGGATTTCTCGCGATTAACTACCTCTGTAGATTTGTCTACATCGAAGTAATTCGTTTAATTGTATGTGTGTTTGTTGATTGCTTTGTTTAATTTGATTGGCTGCCTGTATGTTTTATCGACTTCATGTTGTTTCGTCAACCTCATGTTCTTTTCATCAATTACTTCAAATATAATCACATCAGTTTTTTTTTTTGTTTTTATTCTTCGTGGTATCAAAGCGGGGTATATGGGGGTAAATGTAAGGGGGTGTTTCCCTCCTTAGTAAAAACACTGGTCCGCGATTTAACAAACAGGGCACGTGAAAACGGAAAACCACAAGAGTACCTTACCTCTGCAGTAAAGAATGTGGATGATCTCATCGAGGGTGCGTCATGGTTTCGATTCAGTCAACTATACCAACCGGAGCTTAATTTCCGAGTATTTGTCGTCATGTGATTTCAAGGAATTTTCCGCCCTAGCGTCAACAAGGTGTAACTAAAAGCTACTCAATAATAGGGCATACAATTGTGTGCGACCAAAAGAGTGCATTTTTTCTTAACTGTGAAAGAAACCCTTAAGATTTATGAGACATGGATTAAAAATAATATAGCTAGACAGAAGGATGCTCTGTAATTGGGGCGTAATTCTACTGAGCATAAAATGGCGTACTACAAAAATTAAACAGAGCAGGAATGCTTGCCAGTTAGTTCCGCTTTTGAGAGATCCAAGCAAAATTGTTAGTTTACGAAGGCCATATATCATTTCAAAATTTTCGCAGTTTATTTATGCCGTTTTTTAATTAAATTCTCTGAAAGATTTATCAATCTGCTTGTAGTGCGTAGTTAGGCGAGCCCATCTAAAACGTTCATGAAACGGTTCGACCCGAAACTATTGCTGTCGTCGTTTACCTATTATCGAATCGTTCTTGAACTCGAAAGTAAAACAAGAATGAAATTATCGACATTCCTGGTAAAGGAAGTCGCTATTTTTTACGAAAATAAGCGCATGAAACGAAAAAAGCATGGAAAACTATTCTGGGAAATTTTACTTTCGATCCATTATCAAACGGGGGATTCCTTTAACTTCTCAAAACGGAAGTACATTCCTTTAGCCTCGTTTGTACGCTAAATTTACTTCCGGTCATCTTTGTTGTCATTTTAGCGGGAAACTAAGGTCGATCGAATCACTGATCGCGCGCAGTTTTAGAGAAATTGAGAACTTTTCTGTTCTCTGCCCTCGTGATCCTTCATTTTGGTTGTCTACTATAATCTGAAAGTGAATCGAGGATAAAACACCTTGATGCGGAATTCCATTGGAAAAATCAACAAAAAGTATTCCAACTAATCAATGTGTTTTGTTTGAAACGAGGCAATTTCATTCATTCATTTGCATGCGACTTTAGTTCCTTTGTTGGCTGGAAGCTCCAAAATTATCCGTCTTTTCTCTTTGAACTTAGGATTCGCCCGTTCTTTTTTATTTTAGAGTTAAATGCACAGTTCCGAAACATTTTTTTCCGACTAGCTGAAGCTCGAAAGCTTTTCCGATCGCTGTTGCCCGTGAGTTCTGCAATTTTCGCAGTGCTCAAGCATGGACGAGATTTTCTCATTCATTCTCACCACGTGTTAAAGTTTGTCCGTAAAAAAGGTTAAAAAATCAACGAAGAGCACAAAATTTAGAGCCACTTCGAAAGGATGGAAAGTTTAGTGTTCGAGGTAGCTCGGAAAAACTCCAAAACGTGCCAAATCGAAGGATGTCATGAAATTACAGTTGGTTCCAGAACGGCCTTGTGCCGAAAGCACCGCAACAATAGATACAAACAAAATTACAAGAAGAAAAAACGCAAGGCCCAAGGATCTGAGGTAAGTTTTAAATCACTCTGCTGTTTTTAAGATTATCTTTAAGGACTGCTCTTCACATGTGTGAATTTTGATTTAGATAAAATAGCATTTTTGGTAAATAACTTCTGGGCACAAGTCACATGTCTTTGTGAAGCACATTTCCATTTTTCATTCTGTATTGTTTTAGCACCAATAAGCATCTTATCCTTTTCATTCAAAGGTGGTATTTTACAGGTTTCGTAGGTTGCCTAAGTTCATTAAACATTGATGAATCTAACTGGTATTTGCGAACTGTTCATATATTGAGGGATGTACCGAGAATATTAAATATCCTTGTATTATTCCGGAATGGAAATTCCAAACTTCTAATTTCAATCGCGCTTCTGTTATTCTCTTCTCATATTCATCGTGTTCAGATTTCAAATGCTCTGGAGTTATTTTGAGTATATAAGAGTAAATGATCATTTCATAGATAGTCGCCACTTGGGCCATATGTTTCCTTTGATGCAGATAGAACCTTTTATTGAATCAAATTGCAAAGACTTATTATCATAACTAAGATTGCTGCGTTGTCAAATAAAGTTTTGTAAAAGTCAGTTTTAACTTCGTCTGCTTCAAAGTAAAACGTAACTTTCAAATGTGTCAAATTTCATTTGCTTCCTGTGCGTTTGAATTTTCAAATCCTTGTATCTTTACATCAAAGAGTTGAAATATAAATTTATTTTTGTGTTGAGTTGATATTTAAAATATTTTCGTTGGCCAAGAGTTGTCTTGTGCATCTAAATATTTTAAGTAGTTAACCTCCCCACCCATAAGAAAATGCGCGCCCACTTGATGGATCTCTAGACAGGTTGCCTTTGTTCAGCAATTTAACCAGTGTGTCATTGAATTTTTTTAACCAAAGAAAAACCTTTCACAGGCAGAGACTTGTAGGACTTGTGTGAGTGTTTGCTCAATAAAGCTGTGCTCTCAACTCTTTCATTCCCAAGATCTCATTAGCAATTCTTCCTACTGTCTGCCATAAAATTCTTATGATTTCAATACAGAGAATTTGGTATTGAATCAACTTGTAGTCAACCAATTTAGTTTTCTTCCTTATTCTCCTCACTTTTCTGCTTGATTCTGTCCTGACATTGTCAGGAGAAATTCTGTCTTGGTCACTCATGAGAGTTTAAGGGTTAACTCTTTCACTTCCCAGATCTAAATATGAATTCTCTGCATTGTGTGCTATACTCTTTGGTGTAATGTTGGCTTTGAGAATTAATGTCAAACAATATCCATCTGTTTTTCTCATTCTTTCTTCTCACTACCTTTCTGCCCAAAACTGTGTTTATATTGTAAGGAGAAATTAGCTTTTGGTCACTCATGGAAAAAGAGGGTAAGTACTGGTGAATTTTGCAGACAAAGAGGAAAAGGAATTGCACACCAATACTGGTGTTGACTTAGTATAGGACCTGCCCTTTACAAGTTCAGTGTTTTTCACATTGATATAGGCTATTTGGAGGATGGCAAAGGAAGTTGTTAAGCTCAAAATTGATGCGCAATGCATGAATTTTTACAGAAAGACAAAGTTTACATATTCTCTATACTCTTCTCTTTATTTCATAAAGTGGTGATAAGGAGAATTTGTTTAACAATCAAGAGCTTCTTTAGTTGGTGATAATTGCCATTATTCTTGAGCCTTTAATTGAGATTTAAGGGTGATATTATAGGGAGAACTTAGATATTAGTCACTCTTGGGAATCAAAAGATTAATGCTTGAGTGGTAGGGTAAGAAATAGAAACATTTTCCTTAGGATTGTGACATACATAGTTGAGTTCAGTCCATAGATCATGACTCAGAGCTGAATGTTTAGTGTTTCATCCTCCCACTCAGATGATACAAATTTCACGATGTGATCTTCATTTTTTCTCTCTCATCCTTTTTTTCATAGAGCCACGCAATTTTTTTCAGTCTTCCTTACACCATCATGTATGCTCCTCCAAGAAGATCTTTTTTACAATTTTTTTTTATAATAGGATGTATAGAAGTGTACACCTTATGTAATAGTAGAAGTCATTTTATTTATCAGGAAATACAGAGTGAGTCTATCGAAAACCAACTTGCAGAAGAAAAATGTTTGATGGAACAGAAATATGCCAGTATGCTGCAACAAGTGTTAGCTCAGAAGCAGTTGGTAAGCAATCATGGAATAATTCACCCCTCTCTTTAATAACCAAACCATCATAGGATAATCTTATGTTTTGAGTGCTTTCTTTGCTCCTTTACCCCTGATTATTAAATCTCCCCTACAGTTGCTATCCATTCCCTTGTAAATTAGTTTCAAGAAATTGGTGTTTAATCAAGATAATAACTTCCATCTGATAATTTTGAGTACCAGTGTTCTCATTACCTGTTTGTTGGATAATGTATGGATGTTACAGGGAGAAGTTACATGCTAATCACTTCCAGGAGTTAAAGGATTGATTTGTCGTAATCAATGCTGACAATCCAAAACCCCAGTTATCTTTGATTATGGAGCCAATGATCTCATCACTCTGTATTAGTATTAACTATAAATTTAACTTTCCAAGGAATTGTTACAATCTGAAAAAGTGATCCAGGTTTTAAGAGCCCATCAAAGGAGAGTTAAAGAAGAAAAAATAAAGGAAATTCAAGAGAGGAAAGAGAAGAAAGAACATGAGCCACCCAAAGAAACTTTAGATCTACGTAAGTGTAAAATTGATTTTTTTGAAGGACCTAAAGAGACACCGCCCAAAATCTCAAGCCGAAACAGGGAGAGGCTGTTTCAACTTATTTTCATGTTTCCAAATAAGTTACAGCACTACATTTCCTTACTTTAATTGTTTATAAAAATTCAAACCACTGTAACAACTTGCTTTAAGGGAAATTTTCTGCTGCTAGGTCAAATATTTGCACACTCAGAAATTCTCTAGGCATCCCATAAGCTGTTGCTACAGCCTGTGCCAAGATGTTTTGCACAGAGAATTGTCACTTAGGGTGACCAGGCTATATAAAACAGTCTATCACATGACACATACAGAAGGTAAGGCTTAAAGGATCTGAATTTTGAGTCACAACCTGTGGTTTTTACATGAGTAAGAATTCATGTGCAAGAGAGTTCATGTACTCAAAAGGCTGTGTTGAAGTAGTGTCATAATCTGTAACTCAGTAACAAAAGCATTTATATTTGAAAAACATATTTTGACTGGTTCTTGTTGCCTGATCATTGTTATGGCTTTTACGGCAATTCATGCAACATTTCAAGACTTCTTCTTGGACAACAAAGGAGGAAGAGGCAATTTTCACTAACTTCTTAACCCCAAAGAGAGACTAACACCTAATTCCTCCTCACAATATTAGCCTGAATAAAAATGTGAAGGTCATAAGATTATACAAAATGATCAAAAATTAAAGGAGCTGTTAATTGTTAAGTAAATTCCCTTTGTCAGCACCTGATGAAATGTATAGAGACCAGTATGGAAAATATGCACACTGATGTCAGGGTGTACAGGATTAAAGAAAGGTGCAGAGCATGAGAAATATTTTCTGAAAAAGTGTGTCTTTCCTTGACTTCAGACAATGAAAACTAAGTTGTATAAATGTTACAGCCTGCCAAATTGACCACTTAAGCTGCAAGTTTAGTTGCCAAATTTTTTTGTATTCTCCATGGCAGCCATAACAGTCGTAGTTTCAAGAACTGAGTGAAGAGAGATCCAGACAAAAACACAATTTTTTACCTTAAATAATTGGGAACTGCACTTTTTTATACCTAGGTATGCCACTTAGTGGTTTGGTTAAAGATGGCTCAGTCACAGAGAAAAGTCCTTCCAAGGCATTTAAAACTACCAAGAACTCTGGTAAAACAAATCAGAGCAAAAAGAACTCTAATAAGGGATCACCCTCTAAAGATGCTCGTCTAGGAAATAATCTTTCTTTCTCAAGACACATGGAAAATGTTTCAACACCCCCTTTGCCAGATTTAGTACCAGCAGGAATAAGTGTTCCACCTTACTTAGGAAACAGGAATGGAAACTTTGCAGGACAAAACCCATATGGTGCCACTGGCTCACCACAGCTGACTCCAATCCAACCTGCCATTATGTCACCTCAGCGGATTCCTAAGATTGAAAAAGTATTTAGTTACCAGCCAGCAATGAGCACTGTTAGTAATTCCTCCAAAGTTTGCATGGATGCTGCTGTTAAAGACCTTTCTCCAGGAAATCATGGAAAAGGTTCTGCAGTCCCCACCAATCAACCAAGGCCAGCTCCTGGTGCAATTTCCCAGCACTCAAACACAGATATGAACAATTTTATTCTTCTTAACTCCAAAGCTGTTCATAGTACTCAAGCCAGACTACTGCAGAATTTACTGCCATACCCAACAGTCCAAAATAGCATTCCAAGTAGTGCAAATATCACCTCCCAAGCAGGGCAAACAAGGCCATCTTTTCAAAATATGTTGACACCATGCTCATCTACATCTGTATCAACTGGAGGAAGCGGTGCAGGGATGCTGCACCAAAGTCAGATGAGTTTTCCAATCACAAACTTTAGCCAGGCAATGTCAATGCCAAATAACAGTCAGATTGTAACTACAGGAACATGTACACAATCTCACCTAACAAGCCAGGTAAGGTTCAAGGAACAGTCTTGTTTTTTGTTGTTGTTTTTTCTTTCAGTAAATAACTGTTTTGGGATGTGACGTGTTTTATCAACTCTTTAACTCCTGGAAGTGATTAACATGTAACTTCTCCCCATAATATCTCAACATTATCCAGCAAGCAAGCAATGAGAATACTCAAACTTATCAGATAGAACTTTCTATCTTGATCTAACACAAAATTCTCCTTACCAATTTAAAAAGAAATTATTAGCAATCAGAGGGGAGAATTTACAATCACATCTTGGGAGTTAAAGAGCTGATATTAAAAGGGTTGCTGATGTTTAGCAAACTGAAAAAACTTTTTGAAAGATCCTCGTTAAATCCTTGAGGATCTTGAAGGATCCTTGAAAAGAACTTTGTGAGGATCCTTATGAGGATCTTTGTAATATCCTTTAAGGATCTTTATCAAATCCTTGAGGATCTTAACAAACGTTTTTGCTTACAAAGATCTTTGAGGATCTTTTAACGATCCTCTAAAGATCCTTGAAAGATCCTACTCCTTAAGGATCTTTGGCAGGTCTTTGACAATCCTTGAAGATCCTCAAAGATCCTGTGAGGTTTTTCACCAGGAACGACAAGAGACAGTTGATTGCTAAAAACAATGCAATGCAAATCAAACTTTGAGATTCTTGAGTTATGGTTCATTTCCCTCTGAAAGAGAAAAGAGAGAACAAAGAACAATTTCAGAGAGTTCTTTTGACAATTTAGATTACCACTGTCAAGAGGTGCATTTTTTCCTCAGATTTTCAGTGAACAATCTGATCACATTGTTCATTTGACATATGACAATATTTTCTATTTATGTATTTATTTAAGTAACTTGACAAACCTATCCAAATTTTGAACTTTTTATAGTACGCCTTAAAATTAATTCACATACAGTCAAATACTGTAGATAAAAAAAAAACAAATAAGCATACAAAGAAATAAAGGAATAATACAAGAGTGTAATAACCTCAGCTTATTTTTTACTCAAGGAAATGATTAGTAATATGGTGGCTGAATGATTAGTACACAGAACTCAGGTTGCAGAGGTCTGGGTTCGATACCTGGCCAGGTCATTGTGTTGGGTTCTTGAGCAAAACACTTTACATTCATTGTGTCTCTTGCCACCCAGGAGTACAAATAGGTCAGTTGAATTGTCAGGAAAGCCTGATGAAATGCTGACAGGGGGGAAAGGGTGGTAGGGTAACCTTGCAATGAACTGACATCCCATCTAGAGGGGGGAATGCTCCTGGTCACTTTATGCCAAGGAAGGTGGGATAAGCTAGGGCTGGATGGGCCACTTAGTTCAACTGTACCTTTTACCTTATTTTCTGTTTTGCTTTGACTGAGTAGGTTGATGTATCACAAAACTGGTCAAACCAGATGGCACAGGGAAGGCTGCAGACTCCTTCAGTACAGGATGACTTCCTGCTTCAGATGCTTCAGGTAAATGAATTGTATCTATTTTTGTGTAACATGTTCATTTGTTTGCTAGTGTTTTAGCTCTAAGATTAGCAAACAGAAGCAAGTTTTTGAAAAGGCTTCATTGCTGCTCCATGACTGAACTGAATGTTTTGAAAAATAAGGTTTTAGATTCTAAATATAGGCATCTTTTTTGAGCCTTAGGTTTTGTTACTGTCATAGGTAAGACTTTTCCACAACAGAGCTTCCATGGCTTTAGTTATTAATAATACTTCAAAGTGGGTAATAGAGTCCTATATGAACAATGTTGCAGAATTATTTGGGGCACCCACAGTCTACTACTCATCTAAGGAAAGTAAATAGGTAGAGCCAGCTCATGAACCAATAGGATCTGAACATCTGTTAACCCCTTTAACTCTCAAGATCAAATGATTAATTCTCTCTTCAAGCTGCTACACATTTCCTTGTAAAGTAGTAATGAGAATTTGGTGTCAGATTAAGATAACTTCTACCTGATAAGTTTGAATATTCTCATTACCTATTTTCTGGATAATGTAAGGATAATATAGGGAGAATTTACATGTTGATCACTTCTGGGAGTTAAATGATTAACATTAGCTTATTCCCCTTTGACCAGGAGTACTGCGACCAAGTAAGATGCAAGTCCATTTCTAGGTTACCTCCCAGCATTTTGCTAAGTTTCCTTCATAATTTTTGGTTCTAATTTGTAAATCCAAGTGAAGAGAGATGCTGTAAGAATCACGAGAGCACAAAATGGTGATTAGCTCAGAGCTTACACTAATATGTAAGCCCATTGGAATCCAGATTGAAGGTCAGGAGTCCAGTGGGCAAATTGCAAGGCTGTTGCATAGGCACCTTATTTTTCTCTTTAGGGTGACAATAAAAAACATTGCAATTTAGCTTAAAATTTTCTCTTTCAGGAAAACAAAGAGCAGCAAGTCCAACTTGGTGCCCAGTCCCAAACAAACAGTGGGTTGTCCAGTATAGATCACGTGATACCTGATTCCTCTTGGGCTGCAATGACCATTGGGATATGACAGCATGAGGCGTGGCTACGTAGTCTACTCATGCTCAATCCTTGTGTTCCAATTTTCTGTACCTCTCAACATAAGTTTTATACTTTTTTATTCATCTTCCCTTACGCTGAAGTCGTTACATATTACAACTACGTTTTGAGCCTAGGAATCGTGTTAATTATTTTATATGTTCAGAGCCAATATTCTTTCACTGTGTTTTGTGTTCAAAGGTTGCTTATAAGGAAGAAAACAGCGAGAACTATGCCACGTCTTCTGAAAAAAAAACCAACCAAACTAACACGATGTATTGGGTGCATTTCGAAAGAGTGTCAATAAATCAGAACCAACTAAAAACCGCAGCCATTAGAACAAAGAAAATGTACTCCTTTTTTTTCTCAAAAGAGTAACATTGTTAAGTCCCACCCAAATTTTAATACCAAGGTGTGGTATTCAGTTTTAAATGTACAACTTCTCTTTTACCGACGGGCGCCGTCATGTGACAACTTTGACAAGTTGCTAGGCAACATGCATGAAGAAAATCACTCGCTCACAAAGTCATCACTGTAGCTTTCAAAGTTGTTTTACTGTGGGCTGTTGACATTTGCATTTTTATATTATGAACTAGTATTGTTCATGATTCACGTTTGTTACTTTATCCGCCTTGCATCTTTCTCGCAATTAAACTTCCTTTCAACTTTTAGGATAAATCTCGCCATGAGGTTTAATTATTTTTTAATAATTTGTTTGTTTAAGTCTTTTTGATGGCTTTCTCTTTTGTTTTCTTTTGTTTTTCTTCAACTCTTATAGCTTTAATTAACACTGCCAATTAAATTCCTATTTTCGAAGCCAGGAATTGAACACGCTTTCAGAGATGACAAACGATTTCGTCACTTGAATGACGAACGCTTTTCCATCGTAAAATGCAGAGAAGAGCCTGTTGGTTTCTAGAATCCGAATCTATACGTAACTGGACCCTTTTAAGGAATCCTGTTTTAGCTCCTAAATATGATGTCTACCGATGACTTTGGCTCGTAGTCATCTACTGGAGATGATTCCCATTCTTAAAGGAACGTTTGTACCAAATTCTCAGTTCCATTTCTAAAAATCCATCCTACGTCGTCAAGAGAACTCTAAATGTCTTTTGCTATGTTGATGATAAAGATTGTAGACTCAGGTCGTTGCCAAGAGCAAGTTGTTCAAGGTCACTCCACACAAACGAAGTATTCTCTGTTCTTTTTGCAATTAGCTCTCGCTTTGTTTGTGGTAAACCACAGTTACATGAATCAGTACTGCTAATTACTTACAGCTGTTTGTTTAAAAAGTTAAACTGTTAGAATAATGGAAATCACAGGGAAAATGCCCAATTTGCAAGATTTTAATTTGCTCAGCGAAAATTTACATCAGTATGAAAGAAAATCGGACGCCATGTCGAGCTTTCACGTTGGTTAATTTACTTACGTTTTAAAAGGGTTATGAAAAGAGCTTTTCCCGGTAAAGATCATCTTGGTTTGTCTTTTTATCTACTAAAGCCTTGAAAAAATCCGGTTTCACTTCCGTAAACGATGTTTTGGCCTAAGTATGCAATTTCGGTGGCCTTCTGCTTGAAACAAATGGAGCCTATTACATGTAAATGGTGAACGATGGTTGCCTCATGAAAACCAAAGTAAAGGCTCAGAAAATCGAACTTTCAAGATCTCTCTTTTCAAGCAAAAGTTTATCAAACTTTTGCTTTGATACAAAAGTAATGGAAGATTTAAAACGTGCTAAAACCTTTTTCTCCTTTAATCAGCTCATGGCAGTTACAAAACAAAGCGCCCCTTTGACAACGTAGCCTTTTCTGTGTGTTTTCATTTACGCTACACGTGAATACCCTAACGTGCAGGTTTTCATCACAGAACACCTGCCGCGGAGCATAATATTACCAAGGTTCTTTTGTTGTCCTCTGAAAGGCTACATTATTAATAAGTTAAAAAAACTATCAAATACCATTTTGCTCCGCTGTGTCTTCGCGCGCAACTTTTCGGATCGCGGCCCTGTCTAACAAGGTTTTCATTTGAATAAACGGCTGTTGTCGAAGATTTACCCGCCTCTGTTGCGAACATATTGCATCAAAAGCTACGCATAATTCTATTATCAGCGCGTGATTTTCTGTTTTTGTAACTCACGAATATATATATTTGGTTCTAGGTAAATTCAGCGGTCATGTTCAGCTTAATCTTTACAAAATGTTGCTGACATTGAGCATAGTGTTAAAAATATGGCACCCAGTTAGTGCAAACTTATTACAGAGCCAAACAAAAGCCGTTCGTTGCTAAATACTCGTTAGAGATTGACACTTGTCTGTGAGAGCTAAATATCGAAAAATATTAACATTGTGATAACCACGGTAAGTTACAACCTTGGAAAGTTACTGTGAGTCACATGCTTTGATACGGAACTGAAGGGAAATACTAGTGAAAAAGGGGGCTTGGAAGTTTAATACTTTCCTGGCAAATTCCGCGTTCTTTGTTAATATAGTCATGAATAATTACTTTCGATTAACACTCTCCTTTGAAGTTCTACTTTATGAAAAGATAAATTCAGCCACGGGAGAAACCCTCAACCCATGTGCGGTGTCTGATTGTTGTGAACGGGGATGGTTTTCCAAGAAGTTGGTCGAAAATTCTAACATTTTGCCTTTAAGAATTTCTAAGCTTCTCTCTGTGAGAGAGAGCTTTGGAGAAGTAATTAAAGAAAGAGCTATACACACAAAATTGCAGCTGCCAAGCACAATTTACACTTCGTTGCTTGTTCATATTTTTATGGCTGAAAATAAGCAAATCTCATACCACCTTCTTTTCGCTGATGTTTGAAATTTTTTATCCACATACTTCTCTGAGAATGGAATACATCACCGAAGAATTTCCTCTCCCTGTAGATTTAGTGCGATTAATTGTGGGCGATCCGTGATGAACTTATAGAAAAAGAGACTGCACGTCATCTTGTATCAATATGATGAATATGTTTATTTGTGAAAATGTCTTGAGTCCTTGCCATGTTTAGCTTTCACTGTGTGTAGATCAACAAAAGTAAATTTCAAGTATAAGTGAGAATGTGGGTTTCGTTTCTTTAAAAGCTGCCAAAAAAAACTAGTTCAAAAAATACACCGTTTCGTTAATATTTAGAAGCGGGCTGGTAGACCAACTAAAAAAAAATTCGTCAAACGCGTCTTTAGATATTGACGAGTTTTTGCGTGAAAAATTCACGAAAACTTATGCCCTCAATCACTCGCTTTTATTATTAGTCATCGAAAGCATACAACTCTGCACACCTGCTGAATTTTATCCCCATGAGCCAAGGTGTGGACGGAAAACATACAATTTGCTCAGCTTAAAACTGACAGCATCAGCCGTCCCTAAAAGGTTTTATAAAAATGGAAATGGTAACTCATATTTTGAACCTTTTGTCACTGCTCTTAAACCTTTTATGAAAATATCAGTCGAAAAATTCTTTCCTAGATACGCGACATGTTGACTGCGTTCGTTTCTATCAAGACAATCTTTTTATCAAGTTGCCTAAGGCTGGCTTGTGCGCTGATTAAAAAGTATGTCTCTAGGATATTTGTTATTTGAAAAAAACAAAAAAAATAGCAGAAAGCACTGCATGCGTTATTTATTTAGTTAAACAACTTCTCATTCTCCAAAATAATAAAAACATTTTGACAGTTGGGTCTATTTCCAAGCAGTTCTGACGCTGTTTTTGGGTATTTTAATAACTATGTCCCAATTAAATTTTATGTGATCTACTCAGAGCGAGACAGAAAGAAGAATCACAAATTAAAGATAACATCTTTTTAATTTTCTTATTAATTTTAAGGGATGGTAAAATCTGATTTTTTGTTTGCAAGGCATTTTCACGAAAAGGGAAAAATACGAAATATGGTATATTGCTATTTTTTTCTTAATCATATCAAGTTATGCGAGAACTGCATGCAGAAGAAACGTTCTATTTCTTGTTAAAAAAAAAAAAACGGAGATTCATCAGCGGCAAAACAAAGACTATCCCTAAAAAAAAAAAAGCCAGCTCATTGATAGAACCATCTAATGAAAAATTAATGAGAAAGACTTTTATCCAAACCGCGTGTTAGTTACCACGAATTGTTTTCGTCTTCCTTTGTTCATTATCTCCTTTTCAACTGCAAGGTTAAGAAAACATCATTCTTAAAATGAGAAATAAATCTAAAGCCTTTTTTTCCTTAAAATAAAGAAAATTGCTGTTTTTCGCTAAATGCGTGCCAGAAAGCAATTCTCTTGATTACACCGTGGTAGGGAAATGGCGAAATGATATATTCTGTGGAAAATGATTACAGCCAGAACACAGAATCAGACAAATTGACCCAGCCATATGATAAGTCAAGTCTGTATATTCTGACAGCTGTTCATATGCGACATCGAAACTGCGCCTTCAAAATTTGCGCGAATTCACTATTATTTGGATAACAAGATATTAACCAGAGCGCGCACAATGCTATCCATTGTTAACTCATTTTGCCTTGGTTGCGCAAAAGGACTAATTTTTAAGAAATGAAATACAACGCGTTGTTTAAGATAAGTTTATTTTTCTATGTTAAAAGTAAAACAGTTTTATATGTACCTTTGGGGGAAGGACAGAAATATAACAAGTGTTAATGTGTATAACTTTCAAAGTGTTCGTATAATGCGTGTGTTTAGCCCGGTCATCGATGTAAATTTTTACTCCAACAAAGTATCTTTTTTTTCACCGTATCTAACCGGCTAAAATTTCAATCTTTTAAGTCAGTGGAGCATTTGATAGCTCATCTTAAAAAAATCTAAGTTAGACTGTTTTACATGTAATTCGTAAATACAGAAGTTTCGAGGCGTCAATGATTTGACAGTTGACAAGCTTTCTGTGATGCAAACAGTCAGAATTTGACAACCAAAAAGCTACCTTTGAAACCTTTGGGCAACTTTTATATTACCTGCTGTCTTTCGTAATAACTTATAAATTAGTAAAAGAGATTTAAAGTGCCGCCGGACCGGAGAAATTGTCTACGTTTTATTGAAATTAAATTGGTTTCTCGTTTGCGCCGCGCGACTATCCTTCAAGATAAAATATTGTATCCAGTTTCGAAATAGTTCGGCTGAACTGGATTTGTGTTCCATTTATTTGCAGAAAAGCCGTAGTGTCCACCGTAACAGGAAACAGAATGGCTCATTTGCCTCTGAACATAATTTTGCGGCACACTGTATGTTCGGTTATCCGCAAAATTCAAGTTAGTGTTCGATAAGTTCCTTATCGAAGGGATGTTAGTTGTATATTCGCCATTTTTCGTTGAAGAATCGAAGGAAAAAGGCACTCGTTGCTCAAAAAATTCGTCCATTGATCCGACATTTTCCGATTCGTCGGAATATGGCGAATGAGGATCGAGAGTGGATGGACTATCTGATAAACTGTCAGGTCGACTCGAGTTATTCGACGCGCATTCGCTCTCCTCTGACCAACGTTCGATAAAGTCGTCTAGTTCAGGACGAAGCCAATCCAAGATTTCAAGCTCTGAGCGTTGTAATTCATTTGTCGCCAAATTTGTGTTAGACTGCCGAGTTGCTTGCAGAGGTTTACGCGAAGCTTTAGGTGACGGCTCGGTCCAGAAAGACTCGGGAAGTTTTCGCTTTCTCAGCGGCT